ATCTTGATCCTCGTTCTTCTCATCATTGAGGCTTGTTTTCTTAGTTGAAACCATGTAAGTTGTTACAACTTCGTCATTTAGGTATCCTTTTGGAAAGAACTCTTGCAAAGTAATAGGCTTCTGACTCTTTTTGCTTATAGAGGTGTATTTAGTTGATTGTGTCTTCTTGACCCATTTTCTGTTATGGCCAGACTGTTTATGGTGATATTGGGGTTTCTTCTTCCTTTGCCCTCTGTCAGAATAATTAGTCTGAAAAATATCAGCTTGTTGCTTCTGTGGTTTCTTTCTTGTCACCAGAGTCCATCCTTCTTCATCATCCTGAGGAAAAACCTTTCCAAATGTTGAAATGTCATGTACACTCCCTTGGCCAATATAGATTGGGATTGGTTCCAATGAACCAAATTGGATAGTTGTGCAAGATACCTTCAAAGTTAAGGGTTGAGAACGAGCACTCCCCACGACAGAGGTTGTCAAAGTAGTAGTAGTATGATTTGAAGTTACAACTTTGTCTGTATCCAACAAGATTTTTCCTTGTTTTGCCAGATTCATCACCACCTCCTTGAAGATAAAACACTTCTCCATTGGATGACTGATAATGCGATGATATTTACAGTATTTTGGATCGTTGATACGTCCCATCTCTGGAGGATGTTTGCATTCAGGGAGTTCTATAACTTTACTTTCAAGTAAACATTCCAAGATGCCAGGAACATCGGAATCGAGGAAGGGGTATTCTTTCTTCTCTAACTCCTTTAGCGTAGGACGCTGTCTCTCCCTCTCTTGAAACTGGCGAGGCTTTTTATCATCCTTCTTGTCATCTTTAACAGATATCTTGATTGGGGTGGTTGAGATAGCCATTGAATCTTTAGCCACATTTTTTGATGACTTGTCGCCCTTCTTCCAGTCTTTCTTATCTTTGCATGGTTCTATAGTCATGTGACTTTTGCCGTCATGGGATTTCATACTGATCTCCATGTCATGGGCACGCGTAGCTAATTCCTCAAATATGTGAGGTTTTATGCCTTGCAGAATGTAGAGCAGGCCCCAATGCATTCCCTGCATACACATCTCCACAGCAGATACTTCTGACAAACGGTCCTTGCAGTCAAGACTGAGGTCTCTCCACCGATTAATGTAGTCGATTACAGGCTCATCCATCCATTGCTTCGTGTTAGTCAACTCTATCATACTAACAGTACGACGAGTGCTATAGAACCTGTTCAAGAATTCTCGTTCCATCTGGTCCCAACTATTAATTGATTCTGACTTTAGGTTAGTGTACCACTCGAACGCGTTTCCTTTAAGGGACCGGACAAACTGTTTGACTAGTAAGTCCCCCTTTGTTCCGGCATTGTTACAAGTCTCGACAAAATGGGCAATGTGTTGCTTGGGGTTACCTTTTCCGTCAAATTGCTGAATCTTCGAAGGTTTGTATCCTACATGCATTCTCATACTGTCGATTCTCCTTGTATAGGGCTTTGAGTACATGAGAGTGCTCTGTGAGACACCACCATATTCAGCTCGGATTGTATTCGTTATCATATCTTGCAATTGTTCGACAGATAATAAAGAGACTGAAGAAGAGGTATGATTGGTTTGACCAGTCGCCTATTCTATCCCCGGCGTCTGGTTTTGACTGGTCGCTTGTTCTGTCACCGGCGTCTGTTTAGGATTCTCCCTGTGAGTACCTTGTGCTGTAGAATTAGGATTCTCCATTAGTATTGCTGTAGAAGATGTAGGTTTCCCAGACGGTGGTGGTGTGAAAGTTGCACGATTCCCGGATGGCATTAGTGTTTCACCGAAGGTCTGAACTTCCAATTTATTCATTAATGTAGCGATTTGCAAGTCCTTTTCTTCAATAGTCTTTGTGAGGTTCTCAATGGAATGAGCCATAGTTGCTAGTTGTTCCTCCACCGTAGTAGCTCCAGTCATCATAGCAGCAACCACATCTGAGTATGATAGGCCTTGAGAATCCACGTTCCTTGAAGTGATTGATTGCTCCGAAGTCTGACGTGGTGACTCTGGGGGTGAACCGACACTAGAGTGAGCATCATAGATAGAATGAAGTGAATCTGGTGGTGGAGCCTCTTCTGGAATAATGTCAAGGTTTTTGACATGTTGAGTTTTCACGTTCGCCGGTGTTGCAGGATTAGTTTTCACCACATCTTGCTGAAGTTTGAATGACGCCATCGCCTGGGACTTGCTACGTGTCACAGGGCCCGTCAAGGTACTTCCATCGCTTAATTTGGTCTTCGTGCCATTTTTCATAGTGGCTTTAGCGTCGACCTTTGCAATAGCGATGTTCTTTTGGGCTTTCTTGTCTGTCTGAATCTTAGGGGGAGCCATAGAATCTGATAGAGAAGAAACTTGATGGTAGGAGAAAGAGATGAGAGGCAAAGGTGGTCCCACTGGGCGTGTCACAAATTTGTACACACAAATTTTGTAAGTCTGCAATAGAAACAAAATATGGAGCAAAATAGAATTTTATTAATGTATGGTGAATGTGGAGTACAGTCCTTTGTAATGTCTTTTACAAAAAAAGAATGGTCCTCTGATTCGATCTTCTTGTTTTTGGTTGGTTGGATCCAAGGGCTGCACGAGCTTGTTCTTGAATCACTATGGAATTTGATGAAGAACGGTACGTTGTTAGATGTGCTTGATGTTCTTCGCTTTTGGGTTTCGATTCTGAATTTGTGTCTGAATTTTGAGTTTCTGGATTTCTGAGTCTCTAAACTTCTGAATTCTGAATTTGTGTCTGAAATTGTAGACTTCTGAATTCTGAATCCTCTCCCCCTTTTTTCTTCCTCCAAGACTTCTATTTATAGGCTTCTTGGATTAATAGGATGATAACACGTGTCATCTCCTGATAAGGATAAAACTATAACTGGGCCGGGCCGGTTATATTGTGATAATTATCCTTAAAGATAATTATTCAAAATATATTTTATTAGGAATAATTATCGTTTCATTTAATTATCTGGGCTGGGCTAATTAAATAATTTAGGTGGACCAAGCCTGGTAAATTAAATAATTTATTTAAACATTAGGCCTATATTTAATGGGTCCATTCGTTAAAACCAAAGCCCACTAAATTTTAGTGTCTACAGGGATTAAACATTTACGTAAATTTTTTGGGTAAAAGGAATAATGTATTGATAATAAGGATATTTTGATATTTAAAAATAAGAGTTTGAAGGGTATCTTGACGTAAATAATAATTCTTGATGTTACCTAATTCAATTAATCAAATTGAAAATTTAACTTTAGAAATGGATTATTTTTATATTTGGGGCTCCTAACTTTATTTATGTATATTTGATGCAAATATTTTGGGAGAGATGAGAGAGACAGAGCTATGACAGACAGCGCGCTGGATTTTCTGTTGGAACACATGATGCAGCTAATGAACTCCAGGAAGAAATTGATTGTGATTGAGAAGGAGCAAATGGAATGGGTTTATGAAGAGACGAAGTTCCTGCGCCAGTTCCTCAAGGATTCAGATCAGGACGTGATTCGCGCCGAGGTGAAAGAAGTAGTGGCAAAGATTAGAGACGTCACTTACCAAGTTGATAATATTATCGACTCCTTTGTACTCATCAACACTATGGATCTAAGCGCGGCACACTTAGATTTTTCTGTCCAAGGGAGATCATCCCAATTTAAGGAAATGAAAAAGATTTACAAGAAATGTGTCCACCAGTCTAAGAAAATTAAAAACGGCTCTAAGCTACTGATGGAATATATTGATTGTATCAAATTGATTTCCAACACACAGATGATGGAGATTCTCTCATGGCTGGAGTCTCAGAAAGTTAATCATAATCATCATGGACGACGACATGGCTCAAATTATGAATCTGATGACGACGTCATACAAGTAGAGGAGATCAAGTCTCTCATAAAGCAGGTTGATGAAGTTCATCTCCTCTGCAGTTTTTCCAGTAAGGCGCTCTACCTAATAGACCATCTTTCCATGTTGCGTTCCCGTAAGCCATGGATTGTTCCTCTCCTCTTTTGTAGATTCCGCGACATTGTCAACCTAGCTCAGAAAATTCATCGTGAATTTGGTGGCATCATAGCAGAGCACAACCCAATTATGATACAAGTAATCAATATTTATGACAAGGGGTTGAGTGTCACATGGCCTCAGTCTCACATGCTGGATCGATTTCGTCTCCTCGTCAATAAGTTCCAACAGATGATCAAGCTGGCTCAGAAAATTCATCATGAATTTGGCTATGTGAATATGCATCAGCCAGATAGTCTCTTCTTCAATTTCTATTCTGAGAGAAGTCATAGAAAAGAGTAAGCCTGTCAATGCAAAGGAAATGGAGGCGCTTAGATGCCGATTAATTGAATTTATGTCGCCAACACTTGCCTATGTGAATATGCATCGAGATTTAGGCGATGTGACGGAAGACATCAAGTCTATCAAGAGAGAGGTGATGGAGATTTATGAGAAGAAGAAGGTGCATGACATTGGAGAAGGAATCCAGCAAATCACAAGTTCTTCCCCCGGAGTTTCATCAAAAACTGCCAACACCATAGCAGTGGAAGACGAAGTAGTTGGTTTCGATGAGGACATAAGGACATTAATGGAGCTGCTTGCCGGAGACCATGAAAAGGATCTTAAATATATCACCATTGTTGGAATGCCTGGACTAGGTAAGACAACTCTGGCAAGAAAACTGTATAATGATCCTTTCATCGTGTATTACTTTCATATTCGTGCATGGACCTATGTCTCTCAAGTACACCAGAACAGAGATATATTGCTTAGCATTATAAATTCTGCATGCATTCACGTTTTTGGTAATATTGGCAACATGAGTGATAAAGAGTTAGGTGAGCACTTTTACAAAGCTTTGAAAGGTAAGCCATATCTTGTTGTCATTGATGATATATGGAGTATCAAAGCTTAGGACGTTTTGAAAAGGTATTTTCCAAATGACCGCAATGGAAGCAGAATTGTGTTCACCACTCGACTTGTAAATGTTGCAATGGCTTTGCAGGCTGAACCTTACCATTTGAGTTTTCTAAATGAAGATGAAAGTTGGAATCTATTACGTTTTAAGGTATTCCGAAAAGGGAGTTGTCCTATAGATTTGATAGAAATTGGGAAGGAAATTGCAAAAAAGTGTGGAGGATTGCCACTTGCGATTGTTGTAATATCAGGGCTTCTCGCAAAGAAAGACGAGACAGAAGAGTGGTGGAAGCATGTCAGTGGAAGTGTAGGTTCCTATATTATTAGTGATCCAGAACAATACATGGATACACTAGCACTGAGTTACAACCACTTGCCTCAGCACTTGAAACCTTGTTTCCTCTATTTTGGTGCAATTCCAGAAGACTATGAAATCCCTGTGAGGCAATTGATCTCTTTATGCGTCGCTGAGGGATTTATACGGCAAAATGAGCAGAAAAGCTTGGAGGAAGTGGCAGAGGATTACTTGATGGATCTAATTGACAGAAGTCTAACAATTGTTTCAAAGAGAAGGTCTGACGGTGGAATCAAAGCATGTTGTGTCCATGACCTTTTGCATGATTTATGCTTGAGAAAGGCACGTGAGGACAATTTTCTTCGACAGATTTCCAGGTATAACCAGAGTTCTGAATATAGGCAATGTCAATTGTGCATCCATGATAACCTTGTTGATAAAGCTTCTTTCGAGCCTTATGAGGTATGCACCCGATCTTTCTTGTCCTTTGGTCGTTCACTTTTTGATTTACCTATGATTAAGGATGCATCATTCATCTGTCAAGCCTTCATGCTTCTTCGGGTGTTGAATTTATTATCCATTAAGATCTTCTCTGTTCCAATGGCATTAGAAAGGTTGGTTCACTTAAGGTATTTAGCACTTCATGTTGAGGGAGAGCATGTCACGCTAAAGATATCCAACCTTTGGAACCTCGAAACTATTATTATTAATGGATCGAAAGGTTCATTATACTTAAATGGTATCCAGAAGACGGTGAATTTGAGGCATGTGTATAGTACGCGTCCTATAAATATCCATGGTGACTCTCCCTCTCTATTCATCAACCCGCAAACCACAAGAAAACTCCCTGGTGGCTCTCCCTCGGTATTAGAGAACGTGCAAACCATAGGTAAACTTCCTGGTGGACATGATTTGGTATGGTTTCCCAATCTTAAAAAATTAAAATGTCAACATGACAGTTTTCCAAAAGTGGACTTTTTAGTTCACCTTGAGACACTAAGCTTGATTTACAATGGATACAAAAGGTGTTCCCATCTTGATAGGTTTCCCCCAAAACTCAAAAGCCTTACTTTATCAAACTTCCGTCTACCATGGGATCAAATGTCAATCTTTGGGAGTTTACCCAACCTCGAGGTTCTCAAATTGTCATACAAGGCATTCGAGGGACCAAGTTGGAGCACAAGTGATGGGGAGTTTCGCAAACTCAAATTCTTGAAACTCCGGGGCCTAGACATTAGGCAATGGAACACCTCCAGCAGTCACTTTCCTAGCCTTCAAACATTGTTGTTGGACGACTGTGAACTACTTGAGGAGATCCCATCAAGTCTAGGGGATGTATCTACTCTAGAGATGATTCAGGTACGTTGGTGTAACCGCTCTACGGAAAATTCTGATCAGCAAATTCAAGAAGAGCAAAAGATCATGGGATATGATGGGCCTAAGGTCGTTATCTACGCTTTACATCATTATGAGGTAGTCTTTGAGGATGTGGACGAGAACGACGATGAATGAAGCACATTCCACCTCATTGATCATGCAAAAGAGTCGGCCAATTTAGGTATGTTTTAATGAATGTAGTAACTTTTGAAGACCCATCAAATTTTAAATTTTAAATTTTTTTTTTTTGTGTGTGTGTGTTTTCTTGTGTGTGTGTACGTGACTCATCAATCTGCTTTCATTTTTCTCTTCCTTACTAATCTCTCAAAATGATGAGAAGCTCTTGGTCTTTTTATTGACTCCGCAGCATGTATGGTAATTTTAGAAAATGCATTTCAAGTGTTATGCCCAAAACATACTTCTCAAGTGTTACACCCAAAACAACAGCTCCCTCTTTCTTGGGAAAAAAAGATTGACTAACTTTTTGGCCTCTTCATGTTGTTTTTCAAACCATTGTTTAGTTTCTAATCAACCCCATTAATTACATGCCTAGGGGTGAAATCAGCACCTAATTACATGCTCTGGTAGAGTCCTCATTGTGCATTTTTTCGCCATTGTTGTGCATCATTAGCTTCAGGATGATCATATGTGAAATTCCACATAAATTTTAGGCTTCATTTTATTGAGTTGTGCTATTTAAACCGAGGAGATGGGCGGAAATACAAAGCCGGCAGCCTCTTCTCAGCCTGAATAAAGAGCTGTCTGAAAACTTAATGGAATTAAGTCTACTCCTGACAGTGTCCTGATGAGTTTTTTCTTTTTACAACTTAATCAGAGCTTGGGGAGATGACAATTTCCCTCTAAAGGCTATAGAATTTCTTTACAACTAGATAGTGTAAACAGAAGCATTGAAAGCAAGCAAAGAGTTGAATGGGTAGCAAAAAAGGTTAAGAATATTGAGTCTATTCTTATTTCTTGCCATCAAAGTCTAGTCTAGCCACATTGCCACTAGCTCTACCTATAATGCTTTTCCTTGTGTAATTTTTAAATAGAAAAAAGACACCAGATGCAATTCATTGAACACAAGATAATATGTGACTGAATAAAATACTTCATAAATAACATATGATAAATATACGAAACATGCAAAATGTCACAAGAAACAATATGATTCTTGAAACACAACTGAGGATGCAGTAAGTGGCATGGGCCGGTTACAACTCGTTGGCATCGGATCGGGTCGAACAATTGAAGTATGACCCATGCAAAAGCACCGTGGAATGGGCCGAGCTTGGAGGATCCATTGAAAAAGATCAAGCCCATTGGAAAGTCAGGCCCAAAAGGAAGAAAACCCTTGAATAGAGGCCCAATGTAATCCGTTAGTGAGAACATTTGTAATGGTCTATAAACAGACCATTACGGGTGGATAAGAAGGGGGGATTTTATTCTATTGAAGTGTAAGAATTCTAGAGAGAGAAAGGAGAATGAATTTCTTGCATCTTCAATTGGCACCGTTTGTGGGAAACGACAAAGAAGATTGATTCGACCCTGATCAGTATCATGTTAGTTCAATCAAGTTTGTGAGCATACAGTTTGATTTCTGGAAGTTGAATCCAGATCAGTGAGATTGTAGTTTGTTCAGAGAGAATTCTTGCTTATTATGGATTATAAGGCATTTGCTTCGGAAGGACACAACTGTGATTTATTCAATTGCAGTTAGATCCGGTGAGTTCAAAGCTAGAAAAGTTCAGATCTAGCAAACGGTGACCACGATTCGGTGAAGTTGAGCCCAGATCTAACGGACTTTGCATCGGTGACGCTCAGATCTGTTTCGGAGTTCGTAATTTATGCCTTTGCTTCAATCCGGAATCATGATAGGGGGTGAGAACTCCAATACGGTAGAGAACGTCCAGCAGGTGAAACTTGATGAGTTGATGAGCATGATCGAAGCTCTCCGGAGAGAAAATGCGGATCTAAGGACTGAAATGTAGTGTCAAGAAGCTCCAGTAATTCCGCGACCGCTCCCGGTAAGAGAAGAAGGTGCACGTACTGATGCGGCACATCACGGCGAGGAGGTCAGAAACAATCTGATAGATCCTCACCACGAGGAAATCCGGCCAGATGGTTTGCCGCCAAATCTCCGTCGTATTGATAATCGTGAAGGATCGACTCACGTGGATCCATGGCGTAAGTAGATCAGGCGAAACGAAGCAATGACTTTTGATCCACATCAAGAAATGCTCAGCCGAGGTGAAGCAATAGAGTTGGATCGTCACAAAGCTACGCCTCCATGGCGCAAAGACTTTGTTAAGGACAGATCATTCGATCTGACTTATCGGCCTTCCATGACGACGTTCGACTATTACGGCTCAGAGAGGAGATCTGTAGACCAGAGAGCAACCGCAGGGTTCTAAAGGGAAAATGAAGCACTCCGTTCAGCAGCTCGAACCGTTGATTCACCGTTCATCGATGAGATTCTGCATGTTCCAAGTCCGAGGAAATTTTCCATGCCCGTTTTCATTCTGTTCGACGGAACGACCGATCCGATCGATCATGTGTGTCACATCCAGTTGAAAATGGCTCTGAACACTGAGAATGACTCTTTGATGTGCAAGTGCTTTCCTACAAGTCTAGCTCGACCAACTCTAAATTGGTTCAAGAACCTGCCGAGGGGCTTAGTGGATAGTTTCCGAAGCTTGTGCGATCGGTTCATAAGCCAATATTATGGAAATAAGCGTCCAGCGAAGGACATTTCGAGCCTATTCACAATGAAGCAGCATACTGATGAGCGTCTCCAGGCTTTCCTAACCAGGTTTAACCTTACTAAGAGCATGGTGATTGAATGTCACCCTTCAACGGCAGTTCAAGCATTTATACTGGTCATGACTCGTGGCACCCCATTTCACACAAGCTTGGTGGTGAACACGCCGAAAACTATGGATGAACTTAATGAAAGAGCCGATGGATTTGTACGCTTGGAAGAAGAAGAGGCGGTAAACACTCGGAAGACATCCGTCATATCCACGAAAGAAAAGAACAAAGCAAAGATCAGACAAAAGCAGGTTCAGCCGCAGCGCTCCTCGTGGATATCTGAGAAAAGGCCCAGAGAGGAAGAGCTGGTTACTCTATTGAAAGTTACCTTAGCAAGACTGTACCAAGAAAATAAAGATAAGTTCCGACCTCCTTTACCAATCAGACAACTCCTCGAACAGAGGGATCAGTTTAAGCACTGTGCATTTCATTCTAACTTTGGCAATCAGACTAACGAATGCAGGAACCTAAGGAGACAGGTAGAGATGTTGATAGCCAGAGGGGAGTTCATAAGTTATATTCAAGGCCCAGCGGTGGAACAGAACCGACCAATGGAGCACGTGAAAAAGAATCAGAAGTCGAATTCTCACAACACGCAACCAGTCCGAATAATCAATGCAATTCACGGTCGGCCTGAGCCTGCTGAAGAGTCAGATGAACTGCTTCAAACACGCCTTCGCCAGGCACAGATGAAGAGAAGGATAGGCAGTGTGAACACTCTGCTCCAACAAAGCGCATCAACGCAGATAAAGTTTGACAGAACAGATCTATTACGTATTTAGATCCCTCATAAAGACTCGTTGGTCGTAAGTTTGACAGTGGCCAAATGCTTGGTGCGCAAAGTTCTGATTGATCCTGGAAGTAGTGCGAACATCATGCCAAGGGATATATTTGATCGGCTCGAGATCAAGCAGGATCGGCTAAAATCCACCGGGAATCCTTTACTAGGGTTTGATGGAAAACGAGTAGAGCCCGTCGGTACAGTGGAGGTAGCGGTACATGCTGCCGATAGGGTTCTGATGGAAACCTTTGTGGTTGTTGAAATTCATCCCTCTTACAATCTTCTGATGGGCAGAGGGTGGATCCATAGAGTTCAAGGTGTTCCTTCCATTCTGCATCAGGTAATGAGATACCTGGGGCCAGACGGGACCAAAGTGATTGACATTCATGGGGACCATGTTGCAGCTAAAGAATGTTATTCAGTAACGCTGAAACATACCGGAAAAGGGAAAGCTCCCATTCGTTCAGTAAGTCCGAGATAGCAATTACAGGAGCCTCCCTCCAAGCAGAATGGGGAGGAGGAGCCAGTGGACCTGACTAAAGAACCCCTGGTTGATGTGCAGATCGATCAGTTCCGACCGGAACAAACAACCAGAGTGGGGGAACGACTCCCTGAGGAGGAGAAGCAGGAGTTAGTTAATTTCTTGTCTCAAAACGCAAATGTATTTGCATGGAGTCACCTAGACATGCCAGGGATCGATCCTTCTCTATCTTGTCACTCCTTGAACGTTAATCCCAATGCAAAACCTGTAAAGCAGAAGCAACGATGGTTTGCTCCCGAGCGCAACCGGATCATTGCCAAGGAGGTTGACAAGTTGCTTGATACGGGGTTTGTAAGAGAAGTGTACTACCCTGACTGGTTATCAAATGTTGTCGTTGTGCAGAAGAAGAATGGGAAATGGCGAGTGTGCATTGATTTCACCAATTTAAACAAAGGCTATCCGAATGATAGCTTTCCGCTGCCAAAGATTGATCAAATGGTGGATGCAACTACTGGATATGAATGTTTGACCTTTTTAGATGCTTATTCAGGTTATAATTAGATCCCCATGGACCCTGCTGATGAAGAAAAAACTTCTTTCGTTACCGAATGCGGGACATATTGCTACAAAGTCATGCCGTTCGGATTGAAGAACGCCGGAGCAACTTACCAAAGACTTATTAGCAAAATTTTTAAGGGACAAATAGGGAAGACAGTGGAAGCTTACATTGATGACGTGGTGGTAAAAAGTAAGAAGAAAGTTGACCATGTGAAACATCTACGAGACGTATTTGATGTGTTGAGGTAATATGGAATGAAGCTCAATCCAACCAAGTGCTCATTCGGTGTAAGCTCTAGCCAATTCCTGGGCCACATGGTTAATCTCAGAGGCATCGAGGCAAGCCCTGCCCAAGCAGAAGCTCTGACTAAGAATGCCGAGCCGACGACAGTCAAAGAAGTGCAAACACTTACGGGACGGATCGCTGCACTGAACCGGTTCATTTCCAAATTGGCAGATCGTTGTAAACCATTTTTTGATACAATACGAAGCCACGACAAACAA